CATCAATTTGATTACCAAAATATCATTTAGCGGCTTGTTTTTGCAATCCAAGTATAAATCCTTTAACCTTTTGGTTATTCTGAAGAGTCGTTTTATGGAATTTTACTCTTTTACGACATTCGAAATTAGTACACTTTACATGATTTAATAGTAGTTCTTTGAGAGTTGGGTATGCAAGTGGAATAGGCTTATTTGAGAATGCCAACGTTTCCAATTAGCTGTAAGGAAATGAGCCACAATCTTATCAACCTTAACAGTTGGGTCCATTTATTTACTTTAAAACCATATTTCAGTCCAACGAAACTCTTACCCATAAACCAAGAGGTAGAGCTGAGAAGTTAAAAGTAATTTCAACTCATTAAACGGGAAATAATTATGTTACTTTAGGACACCTAGAATTCTCTAAAAAAATCTAGAAACGTCTCTTCTAATCGCAATAATGTAATAAGCAGAAAATTTTCCATCCTTTATATTATAAGCACTAGGCATTGATGCATTATATGCAGACTTCAACTTCATATGTTGACTCACTGATGTTTGACTTCCCAAGGTTATTGAGATCTAGCGACGCTGAAAGTAGTAATAAAGTTGTAATTTGAATTAATAAATATACAATTACATGTAAACAAGAAACAACGAAAACAAATCCAAAATCATCTGTTTAACATTGTGTCACGTAATAATTACAGATTGGAAGTAATAGTAATGAAGCATTTAAACCACAAAACAATTGAAATAGTCATTCACCACATAAAGCAAATGCGCACTTTTGTAATTTTTTTCTTATCGGGCTTTATAATTCCAATTAGATACATTTATTCATAATGCTTGTAACAGTTGTAATCGTTAAAATTGACATGAACTAAAAGATAATAATGTTTGTAATAGCAGTGATTAAAGGTCATGTGAGTGTCTGTGCAGTTATTTAAATAAGTTTAAAAGAATTATGCTCATTCATGTGGTCTAAAAGCAATACATTTTGTCATATTTAGAAGTATTTGAATTATTGTACGGACTAGGAATCCCAGAAATAATGCAATTTGATAATGAAGAAGTAGGTGAGCACGAGCGAACGTATTGTATTTGAAATTCGAAATCAGACAATCATCAAGTACAAAAGAATCATTAGTTCATACAAACACCACATTTTTTCCAGACAGAATTTAGTTGATAATATAAATGAATCATCCCCAAACTGTGTGAATAAGATTACGAGTTTAAAATAAAAGCCGATACTGCAATTTATACTACGAATAATAATGAAAGTTCATGTGCAAATTATCTTTGCACTTCGTTACATCGAAACGATATCGAGATCAATATCTGAGAAACTGTTTAAGTTGAACTGGTCCTTTTTGAATCTTTTAAAAGAAAATTCATGTCCTTTCAACAAGATTGAACTTTAGAAGTCATTTTGAAATGTGAAAAACATCTAAACACAATCTTACTAAAAATACTTAGTCACCAAATTTACGGATGTATAAGACCATGTCTACCAAGCTTCGTTAGGATTTATAGAGTCGTTATTTAACGTCCATTCAGGCCGTTGGAGAAATCAACTGAAGATTATTTGTGGATTAGGATAACTGTTTCTCAGTGTTTCGTTCATTGTTTTTTGTCATATTTACTAAAATAACGTAAATGAGTCTTTTTACTCTGCTTCAGTTTCACCACCTCCTAAGGTCCATTTACCTTTGAAAACTAACCCACATCATAATTTTGAGGGAATTGAATTAGTATTATTGATCTTAACGATTTGGGAGATCAACTTAAAGGCTCAAAGTTCACCATAATAATTTGTTTTACAAGGTCTGACTTTTTTTACGAACTGTATGTATTGTGTGTGATAATCAGAAAGAAAAAAACTCCATTACTTAGATTTGCATTTTTTCTAGAACACTAAGAACACTATATTATTTTTATGTCTTTACAATCAGTAATAATGCAATTGCAGTTATTAAGTATATTAAGTGAAGTCAAATGACATTTGTTTATATTGTATTTGCGTAGAATACCTAAGTCATCTGGCTTGTCGGTGCTTAAATTTTTATATCCACTTTTATATAATGGTGCTAAAATATGTTTATTTTCATAATTATTGTACAATAAAGATTTTGGGATATGCATTTGACGAACTGATTATAGTTGAAAGATAAATATGTAAAATAAATTGATTGACTATTTAAAGTAAAATATGATTAGTGGCGATTTACATTGTGGTGGAATAACAAGTCTGTTTAGGTTTATTGACCTGTTGAAAATTGCAATATACTTTCTACCAGTTGTGTTACTGTCTATTTTCACACAGATGTTTCTTAATTACGACTTATTGAATCTTGTATTTGTTTAATATGTCAAGTATTATTTTTCGGACTAGTTTCTTTACGGATTGCTTTCGTCAACTTTATCCCTAATGTGAAAATTATACTTTCTAAGTAAAAAAAATATTTAAACAGGTAGTTAAACAGCCTCACTACATGACTGCTGTTCGTGTTGTTAGACATTTAGTTATTGATAGTTAGTGTTTTTGTAAAAGTACTAATTCCGTGAGGAAATGTGAACACAGTTAATAAAAAGGTGAAGGGATCTCTTTTCAACGAATTTATTATCAAGCTGTACAATCGTATATATGTGAAAATTTTGTTTTTGTAGAAGTACTAATTCTGTGAGGAAATGTGAACACAGTTAATGTTAGTGTTTTATTGGTTGGTAATAACACAAATTATCAACATGAAAATGTTAATTTAGTTTAAATTAACATAGAAATATGAGTTACACTCAGTATGAATTATTTTCAATTTTACCAAGTATGAAAAGGTGTTTTCATATTGGAAGTTGAATTCCCATTTAGTGCCATATCAAATGATAGATACTTGGGTTATGTCTCTAAATAACGATTATTATTTCATATAATCCCTACTAAACTAAGTGATTATTGTACTCATATTAAACCTAAGTTTTTAAATATTTGTAGGCTTCAAGTTTTTCTCTACTTATATTATACATAGTGTAAACATTTCCTCTATGTAAACAGTGGTCAATTGATTATTTATTTTAAATACATCATATTCTCATCTTTCTAAGTACAGTTCCTTGATATATTTTGAGTGTTAAACTAGTGTATTTAGATAGAATACCAAATGTAGTTTTATGTAATGCATTGTAACTTGGGTCAATATACATTTATTCCGAATTTCTCATTGTGGTTATTAACTGAGTTTCAACCAGTAGGTCAAAATATATAAAATTTACTCCTTCTAGTTCAGCCTGAACAGATAAGTAACATCACATAAAAGTGTGAGTACATAAGCACACCTTTTATGAGACCGAGTTTCATTTGATACTAATATGTGCCTCATTTACTTAGCAATTAAACTAATGTTTACATAAAATTCTTGAAACAACTGTCTGCAATCTAACATCTCTTCGCAAATACATTTAGGCGCGTGAATCCAAAAATTTTTTTATTCAGAAGTATCCGTCAGAATTAGTCTGAATAATATGTATTTCATGAACATTTAAATTTACCTCCGGTATATTTAATTTTCCATTACTCCAAATATAGGCCTAACTGCTACCTATTTGATTAACGGAGTCCAAGTGGTAAGAAGTCACCGTGTTCACATTTGCTTACAACGTTATATATTAGCATAGTTTCCTAACTATCTGCTCTTTCAATCAATACTCCTATAGATCTTTAGGAAATTTCTTTTAGAGAATACTAATGGATAGCAATATTATGCTTTCTTTTATCGAAGTTAGTCACTAGTCTAAACTTACATTATTACCTCCCTTATGAACTAAACTGAATTTTTTGTCGCTACTGCACTAGCTGATTATCTTATATTATTCGTGAATTTATGTAGAATATGTTATGTCATCGTCCAAAATTTTAGGGTCTTATTTCAAACACATAATGCAGCTATTTATACTAATCGTGGCATGGAAACTCTGAAATTAGAAGATTGTCACCAAGAAAGAGTGATTTAACATCAGCACTGTTACCACGTCCATCGCAATAAGGATTGGTCTTGAGAATTCTATCTGGTCGTCCTGACAATTTGGACCGATATATACATGCTTCAGGCTCTATTTTGTACATGAATGACTGGTCTACAAAAAATAGCCAATCGGCAACCATACTTTAAACAATACATACTTGGTTAAATGATGCCCTGAGAATTTTCACAACACACTTCTGAAGGCTTCGATCAAATATCTAACCAATTCACACGAACTGACTGATAATTATCCGTTACATACTATTTGCGGTAGAATAAGTAACATATTGACCGGCAAAATTTAGCGAATTGTTTTGAAAGATTTTTACGATCTAATCAGAATTTTCGAATACGATATACGAAATTTTTCAAATTTTGAGATGTTATTTAAGTGTTGTCAAATCTCGTTTAAGGGAAGGTTGCGTCTAAAAATGATTTATTATTGAAGACCAAACTCTTAAAATTACCAAGTGTTTTATAATCATAGGATAGCAAAGCACATTAATGAGCACAAAATATGCGATTTTAAATTGTCTATTATATCATATGCGGCGGTCTGCTTGAATATCTGGGCTACCTGTTCCTCCGATCTAGATATTTCATCAAGTTATCTCTTTTGTTGTTTGTTTTAGCACATCACTATGTCTATTGTGCGCACAACCTATTCAGGCGCGTTTATGAAAAGTTTACAACCTTTCGCTATACGGGATACAAAAAGGTACAATCAGCGACATCATGGTGGCTGGCAATATGCATTGAAACGAATGAACAGTAATCAAATATGGATTACCGAACTTCTAACATCTAACTGGTCATCATTCAAAATTTATCGTCACAATCGATCAAGGTATAAGAAAAGGAAACTTGTTGAAATACTTTATGCTGAGAATTCTATGTTGTACCAAAAATATAATGTTGAATAAAGCTTCTTCTTCTAATAATAATAATAATGTACTTACGTCTATGTGTTTAGGTAATGAATCGAAAAGACAAAGTTTATCAAAACTGTATGATATATTGGCCTAAAACAGTTTGAACAATCTGATCGCACATTAAAATATTAATACGGGAGTAACACTAGACAAATGGGATGTAAGAGCTCTAATTTGTTGTTATCGAAATCTATCAAGCGGACTGATGGTTTTAAATATATATGGGAATATTTTCCTTCATTCAATATTTTAGAAGGGCACTGTAAGTAGTATCAGTTTCGTGATCATACGTTTCAAGAGATGCAACTCTCATCATCAATCAATAAGCTCTACTTCTAGGGTAACAGTCGGTCCCGAACCCAGTTAGAGGGTTGGGCACAGGGTCAGCAACCATATCCCATAAAAAACAAACTTGCTAAGAAAACGCTATTACGTTGACACTGCGTCATTATTCATGATATTACGTCGAGTTTTCTGCCCTGAAGTGGTTTCCTCGGAAACACACTTCTTCCCACACAGAAAAAACCGCACCTACGATCATTAAGACCAACGACAGAAATTCACCCTAATATTCTTTGAACCGTAACCGTTGGCTACAAAATCTTAATACTGATATTATTTTACAACTGTTTCAAAACAAAATGATGCTTAATTACGTTCACTACATTTTAATACTCGCTTACAAAATTTTTCTCATTTAAGGCTAGTTTACTTGCGACTACTAGTCTTTTTCCGCAATCAAAAACAAACGACTTACCAGTATAAATTGTAAAAGGATCGTAAGTCCCTAAAAATGTTGTGGGAATTGCAAGCGTCATATCACAAGAATATTGAATGAAAAAATTGGAATAAATCAAAAATATGATCAGAAGTCAAGACAACTTTTACTGGATGACATGAACTGGTAAAGAATCGTTTATCATAGAGCATTCTGCAATTTGAAGATAATGAGTGTTTTTGAATATGTAGTTTCAGGTCTAGAAAAACATGAATACTATAAACACAACACCAATCAACAAATTGTCAGAGTAAAAATACAAGAGAATAAGTTAGGACAATGACGCTGTGGAAAGTATTATGAGAGAAAACAATCGGGAATTAAACATAATTCCACTAGGGAATTAAAGTAATGTATTATTTAGGATCTGTTAGCTGATGGACCACTTGAAGTAGCCTGACGTGTTGCAAACAATCCGGCTTCCAGTGCACTGTTTCTTATTAACGGATCTGACACTACACCACTAGCGAATTCTTCTTTAGCCTTCCCAAAGCTAGCACCCGTACTGCGATAGATGCGATGTACCTAAACAACAAAAATTAAACACAAGTTAATAAATCTCAACAAAAAGGAAGTATGCTTAGATTCTGAAGAACAGTTAACTGGTGGTAAAATTCTTCCCTGGTCGCATCCCGGCTGCAATCTGTCGGGGCATAGGCGGAGATGACGAAAAGACATCATCCTCACTTTGATGGAACTTTCTAAACTAACAGCACATAACCGACTGTTAATGGGGATCCAATCGATTAGTGCTGCCTCAGCTCTAGCGCTTAGTGCGACACTTGGGATATTCAGGAAAATATCCCAAAAACTATTCTATTAAGTCTAATGCTATTCTTGGACTTGAGATGGTATCATTTTCCTACTGGTCAATACTTATTTCACGTGTCTAATGTTATTTTCTGTTTTATGGTGCGGTGTGGTCTGCTTGATTGGTATATAAACAGAGTATGATTGAAATATAACGATTCATATCTCAGAGGCTGAGACTTGCGTTCTGGACTCAACTGGCTGGGCCAGACAGGGAAGCAGGGCCAGTCAGGACTCTAGGTCGGTCTTACGTGTTTTACGCGTCTTTGGTCCGATCGATAATACGCTGTACGTCTAATCTGCAGTCCAGAAGTTATAACAGACACCAACACCAGCAAGACCAGACGAAGATGCCACAGGGTCCCCGGATAAACGCACGTAAAACAAGCCTTTTGAAGAGACAGATGGAGAGCGAATTTGTAGTATTTCACCAGAGTCTTGAATACGGGTCTCGAATAGATAACAGACGTCGATATTAAGACTTTCTAAAGACGTAGTCAGCCCTATCTGTTGTCCGATCTGAATTAGTGTGCGAACGTTGAAGGGAACCAGTTTGAATGGTGCACGTGGTTTCAGAAAAACTGTTTCAGTATTCGTACTTGGTTGACGCATTCAACTTCCGACCAGAAAGTGACTCGAGATCATTTAGATAGAACAGAGTTTCCACCATGGGCGAGCTGCTCTATAAGTTGGAAAATGGGGATACATGAAGTGAGAACAGAGGTAGATAATTGACGTAGTTTATAAAAAAAAATAGTGATAATAATAACAGTGAATGTTATCAAGTGAATGTGAATTGTCTGAATTCTAAGTGAAGCGAGCATAATATTTCGTGAAGTGATTGTCATCTCATTACAATTGTGTGAGGGCTTAGATTCCCTGCTTCGGTCTGGGCCAACAATCGTAGTGTTTCTTGACATCAGGGCTGCTTTCGATTCTTCGGACAGGACTGCCCTCTGGGAATGTATATTGAAGGGTGTGCCTGAGAAGTTTATTAACATCGTAGTGGGTTTTCATGACACTGCATAAGAAATAGTGGGTAAGGACCCTGATTTGGTGTAATAACTTAAAAGGCTAACCTTGAAAGAGTGAAAGTTTTTCTATGACCTATGAAGTAAACAGATGTTTATATTTGTAGAAATGAAACAATAATATGACTAAAGAGCAATAGCACCAGCCTATGTTTAGTTAATGAGCTTTTTATGCCCTAATATTATTGAGTAAAGAGAAAAAAACATCAATAATAAAACTATTAAGTGTGAGTATAGAGCTTCTATTCTAATGAAATTCTGGTGATGTTGAACAGCATATAGACACTAAGAACTAAAGTAGTATTTAAATGTTACTACAAAATTCCTATAGAATGAGGTGAGACTTTCTTAATCGTGATCACAGTATTTATGTGTTTTATACAGGATGATATATTGATAGCACCAAAATTAAATGATAACATATACCTGATAGTAAATACACAACAAAGCGAAGAAAAACTCACATGTATAAAATACCAAACCGATATTGCCGTGACGGCTGTGAATATGGATGCTACCAGCAATGACATAACTCCAATTACCGGGCTAGATCTGACCACTGCCAAACCAGTGATCCATCCACTGGAAAATACAATAATTGGTAAACAACGAAACCGACCATCATATTTATTATAATGTGATATATACTGAAAAATATTTGAACTAAATAGTGTGTGGAGTTAATGAAATATGGATACTACTAGAAAGAATGGATCTACGGATTTATCACTGTCTATTAACTCCGCCCATAGGGGGTTGTAAGTGTGAAATATTACTGCAGTGACATGCGGTGTTCTAAATCTGATACTGATACACGGTATGCAACCCTCTAACCCTCCAAATGAGTACTTTGGAAAAAAATTGCGAGTGAGAAAGTGTATTAGACTAGCGAATGAAATGTACAAATATTCATTCACATTTATACCACTCTATCCCGAAGAAATTGACCCACTGGCCAGAGAATGAAATGTACTTGGCCTTTATGTCACTTCTGATTGCCATCGATTGACCTTTTCATTAGACCCAGTCAGTCAGCTACAACGTAGAACTAGGCCACCGTCCCTCTCGAAATGCTCTCACATGGCCATGCGCATACAGCCACTGCCAGGGAACTCCTACTCACTGCCATCTCGTGGCGGGGGTGTTGTTTACAAGATTGAGAGGACGAAAAGCGAATGCCCGTCGATTTAACCGGGCCGGTGAACACAGTGAGTCTACCTAGGGAAGTTGGGAAACCCTGATTCCAAACCAATGGTGCACATGAGCTCCAGTATCCTGAGGGGACAAATGGCGTATGAACCAATTGTTAGTCACCGGCTACCATGGGACTGCATCTCCTAACATTGCTTCACTGCCTTGTGGGTCAGACCTTTAGGTCAAAGGCTCGGGGTGTGTCCCCTTAAGAAAACCACCTGCTTCGGTTAAAATGAAATGACAATGATTATTGGATATAATACTCGCACTCCTATTACAATTCAAATAACCCATACCCATTTGATAGTACTCACTTTTAGTTTGATTTTTTTTGTACTACGTCACTTATCCACTCTCGTCCATTCCCACCTTGCGTATCCTTACTTTTCAACTTATAGAGCAGCTCGCCCATGGTGGAAACTCTGTTCTATCTAAATGATCTCGAGTCACTTTCTGGTCTGAAGTTGAATGCGTCAACCAAGTATGAATACTGAAACAGTTTTTCTGAAACCACGTGCACCATTCAAACTGGTTCCCTTCAACGTTCGCACACTAATGCAGATCGGACAACAGATAGGGCTGACTACGTCTTTAGGAAGTTCGTGCATCTAGGTAGCTACATAAGTGCTGGTGGTGAGATCAATTCATGTATAGTGAAAGCCAGAGCGGATTATGCCAATCTGAGCCATCTTTGGCGCCTTCGTGATGTTAGTCTGGCTGCAAAAGGTCGGATCTACAACGCGTCGGTGAGAGCAACTTTACTCTATCCTTGTGAAACCTGGCCTATCCGAGTTGAGGATGTTAGACGACTCTCTGTGTTTGATCATCGTTGTCTCTGAAGGATTGCTGACATCTAGTGGCAAAACCATGTCAGTAATGCAGAGGTTCGGCATCGTGTGTTTGGACGCAGAGACGATAATCCAACTGTTGTCAATATCTTGAAACATCGACTTCGGTGGCTTGGACATGTTCTACGAATGTCGTTCCAGAGAATTCCTCGTCGCGCATTATTTACCGACATTGGGACTGGTTGGAAAGAGCAGAGAGGTGGTTAGCGTATGACGTGGTGTCGTGTTACGAATGAAGGCTGTACAGGACTGGCTTCTGTCGGTCCTTCACGACTCCCTGGTTGGGGTCTGAGAGATGGTGTAACACAGTGGCTAGAGAAGTTGTCAGATATGGCACAGAATAGAAGCCAGTGACAATCCTGCTGTGACTTTCTTAACTGAAAGAATTCTTCCCCCAATATTGTTATTTCACTACCATACACTAATCTGTATGTAATTGCACTTTTTTCTTTCTATACGCACCTTACATTCTTTATCTCTTCCCATTCTCGTTGTTATTGTGTGGCGCATGTGTATCTGGTGCCTCCTTGTACCAATATTTATATGTTCAAATAAATAAATAAATAATAAAAGAATCGGCACTCTATATCAATTATTTACGCAACTGTAACAGGGAAAGTGGTGTGATTTTAACGAGTGTAAATAATATTTCAATTATTCAATATATGTATTAGAAGACTCACCAGGATCCCCAATTTATGATACCGATTGACTGTATGATCATAACCAAAATTTGGACACCAAAAACAATGAAAAATATGAAGAAATTGATTGAGCTGTTGCTTCTATGTGAATTAAATGAGGAAAAAATTACCGATTTCAATTGCTCTGTGAAATATTATTTGGACATAGAAAATTAAAAGTAGTAGAAACGCTTATCCAATGAATAGAAATTTATTGTTAAACATACCTTTTCATTTAGTGTAGGCGATCATACTTAATACGTTTTTGATCAAACTAGAGATAGTAAAGAAAATAAAAATACAGCCAGTAGTAATATCATATCAATTAGCACCTATCCCGATCAAGTTAGTATTGAACGACAGTTGGAGCAATGCCAATTTTTCTAGTGTAGTGATTTCAAACACTTTGGAAAATATAATGAAATCATTGTGATAGGTACGGCTTTATTATGTTTGAACGTGACGGCCTTTTTGGTTTAATGGTCCATAAATAACCTATTGTTGTGAAGCGATAAAATCTTTGAGATCTACCGAAGTATCAAAGGATTTAGAAAGGGCTATTCATAAGTAACTTTGCTTATACTTAAAGAACGTGTCCAAGATCATTTCAATTAACTGATCTAAGTAAACATTAGAAACATTTAGCCACTCTCATCTAACTACCATTATGAAATACCACAAAACTTTCTTGTTACGACTAACATAATTAGACATTTGTGAAATGCATTAACTTGCTACCCAATTCAAAGAACGCGAAACAGTGGAGTCAATTTATGCGACTAATAATCCTACATCTTCCCATTAAAAACGACAACCAATCATGATTTCTAACAAATAACCTGTACATTTTCATACACTGTACAGCTATCAAGTAACACCCAACTTTAAGTTGTTAAGTTCTAGCTTTAATAACTGGCTAACTTTAAGATGGATTAATTGGGATGATGTTTGAAATGTAGCGTATCTCCATTTGAGAATGACATCACGTAATTCGGGACTTTCATCAAATACTCAGACAATGCTTAGTGAATGTTAGTGATTGACGACTACTTCTCGAAATTTATGGTGAATGAAAATCCAGTGTTATGGAGTACACCCACCTTCTATTAGGCTCTTGATACCCAGCTAGTGGGACATGTGACACATCTTCATACTAACAGTAGGTCCTCTGTATTTGTCTTACTATAGCTTTACAGTAAAGTGAAGTGGTTATACTAATTGCTACGGATACCTCAAAATAGTGACTAATATGCTTGAAGTCCAATTGTACTTTAGAAGGAATAGATAATCCTTAACTTTTCTAAACAGTGATTATGTAGTGTCTTTGAGTTCACCACGAAATTGGTCCTCGTGGTCAATAAGTAAAACGAAAGTGCTCCTAATCATACAAAAAATGATTGCTCGTTAGTAACGTATGACTTTCAAAATAACTTTGCAACAAATGGTATTTTCTGCACGTTGGGGCGATAGCACGAAACTACAACTTAGATGTCTGCTTACTTGGTTTACCCTCCATACTTTGCCATTTACGTTGTTCACTATGACTTCGATGGCTTGGACATGTTCTACGAATGTCGTTCCAGAGAATTCCTCGTCGCGCATTATTTACCGACATTGGGACTGGTTGGAAAGAGCAGAGAGGTGGTTAGCGTATGACGTGGTGTCGTGTTACGAATGAAGGCTGTACAGGACTGGCTTCTGTCGGTCCTTCACGACTCCCTGGTTGGGGTCTGAGAGATGGTGTAACACAGTGGCTAGAGAAGTTGTCAGATATGGCACAGAATAGAAGCCAGTGACAATCCTGCTGTGACTTTCTTTTACTTTCTTCATAAAAAGCGGTTGTAACTTTCTTAACTGAAAGAATTCTTCCTGATTATACCTTTGCTATCTGAACTGCCTAATCTATTATTATTTCACTATCATACACTAATTTCTGTTCGTTATTGTTCTCTTTTCTGTAATACGCACTTTACATTCTTTATCTCTTCCCATTCTCGTTGTTATTGTGTAGCACATATGTATTTGATGCCCCTTTGTACCAATGTTCATGCGTTCAAATAAATAAATAAAACTATGATGACTTCATTTCAACGTTTAGCCTTATATATGAGATAAGGCCGATTTGTGAAGAAATCGTTTTTTACTTCATCCAAGTTACAAATAGACAATAATGTAAACCGCTTATTTAGAAATACGAACGCATTGTTGAGTAAGGCAACTTACAGGGGTCTTTCACCTTAGACCTACTTCAAAAGTGTAAATTATGCTTTTTTATCCATTTGTATATTAGTACGAGACCGCGAGAATTGATAATTGAATTTCTAGATGAATAAAAGCAAGATTGAGTGGATTTCTCAAATGTACAACATGATACCACTCTTACGAAAATAATGAGTTAAGCTCCATATTTGATGCTTATCACCTAATAAATGCAACAGTATTCAAATTTAAATACATCTGATTACTTTTCCTCCTAACAAAGCTAGAAAGTGCTCGAGAAAACAATAATAGACTTATCAAGTACTGCTGATTTATCAAATACTTTAGTGCCAAAATAAAACGTGGAAGAATTTTGTTTGCTGCATACGTCATCCTATTAAACTGTAATGAATGTTTAAGCAATCATATGATTTCATGATCGATATTGCTATAATCCTTATCTTTGAATTTACATTCTTGAACTTTATTTCTAATAATGACAACAGCTTCAAACATTCTGAATCAGTAATTCTAAGTCTGATTGTGAAGACTGATGAGAAAAAACTTACGAAAGTACGTGTTAACTTTATAACTGGTCTGTACGTTTAGTTTGAATATATGGACTATATAGGATGATGTTACATATTTCACTTATTATGAGAGTTATATCAGCCATTGTCGGTTGGTGGTTTATGAGATCTTAGCACAGGTCAAAGAGCTCGCTTAGCCTTAGACAATCTATGACGCAAGATGTTTATCATTTTATGGAGTGGTGAGTATACTGAGAAACTCTGGAACATGGTCTTTGAAAAAGCATGTATAAACTGCTAGTATTTGACGGAGGATTGGTATGTCAGTCATGATCAACGTAGAGCCTGCCACAACCATGCGTTGGCCAGTAACTAAACTAAGTTGGTATGACGAGGTTCATTTAAGATCTACGGCAGAAAACATCAATATAATGTAGTAGCTGTGGCAACAAGAGAAACCAAGTCTTAGAACTATGGTTCGAGCTCAAAATTTATATGATGAGTGAGTGAACCTGCGCCATTGTGGTCGATTCTGAGCAATCTTACCTAGTGTTCCCAACCACCGGTAGTGGTTAATACTCTGACCCAGACCAAATAGTCCGCATCTATCAACATAGTTCCAACCAACAGTCAGCGAATTTATGGAGCGATACTATGTTTTGGTTTTACTGAGCCTAGCTATCGTCTATTCTACTCCTAGACCAGATAACAGTGTAAGTCGAGGTTAGTGGTGGTTGGGCACACGTAAAACATGTCCACCTCAGTAAGTCAAGATTTGTGACCTGATTAACCGATTTGTCATTTTTGCCAAGTGTCCTACCTCAAAACTCCGCAATCCGCAAACGTTCATTTCACGGTACACATCAGTCAGCTACAACGTAGGACCAGGCACATATGTGCATCGGTCCAGGTTGCCATAACGCATCAGTACAAGATGAACACTGGATTCATAGAAGTGATTAATTCAATGGTAGTAATATATGAAAGAAAGATTGCATATAAGGACATAGTACAGAAAGAAAAAAATTAGTTCGTAGAAAGAAAGGTATGAAGCAATTTTAATCTCATAGTTTAAGGGAAGACAGGAAGTGCATACACCTAAGCCATTGTGATCGATTCTGAGCCATGTCACCCCGAGTCTCAAACCATTGGTTACGATAGTCACGTGGACCCCAACCAAGTAGTCTGCATCTGCCAACATGGCAAAGACCAGAAGTTAGTGACTTTAAGGACTGATGCCACGTTCGGGTTTGGCCACTTCCTTCCAACCATCCCCAACACTAGTCAGCATTAAGCGTCGTGGTAATCGGTGCTCAGGCATGCGTAACAAGTGGCCCAACCATCTCAGTCGACGAAGATTCACAACCTCATCAGCTGATTTACCATCATTCCCTAATACCCTGGGTCTAACCTCACTATTACTTACCCGGTGATCCCAGCAGATGCGAGCAACATTCCTAGGGCATCTATGGTCAAATACTAGTAGCTTAGGAGTATCTTCTACCATTAATGGCCACATTTCGTAGTACTAAAGTAGAACAGAACGAACTGCCGTCCCTCAATTGGTAGACGGATATCTCACCTTCGCCATAGGTGACGTAAGTTGGCAAAAGCCAAACGAGCTTCTTGAATCCGTGAAGAGATTTCGTCAGACACCAACCCACTAGGGATGATCAGACTTCCAAGATAAGTGAAGTTGTCAACGCATTCGACTACTTCACTCTCCATCCTTCAGTCAGTCAGTCAGTAACAACGTAGAACTTCGTACGTACGTACATCAGTTCGAGTTGCCACACCACATTAGCACAGAGATGCAGTGGTCGATTCAAATCCCGTAGTGGTAGAGGTAATAAGAGTATAAGCAGTAATCGGGAAGATTAGTGTTTGGAGATGTTACTTAAAGAGTATAATACAGTGAAATAAATTTGGAAAGAGAAAAAAAGGGACATGAAGAATTCAGAAGATTAGAATTTGGGAAAACACAAAGAATAGATGCACCTGCGTCATTGCAAACGATTTTGAGCCATGTCATTCAAGGTCTCTAACCATCGGTTGCTATCATCACGCGGTCCCCAACCAGGTAGTCTACACCTGTTTTGGTCTGGCCGCCCCTAGCTTTCTTCCAATCTACTCCTATACCACTGAACATAGCACGTCGAGGCAGTCGGTCGTTGGGCATACGTAACACGTGTCCCAGCCATCTCAACTGATGAAGTTTCACTACGTCATCAATTGATTTGCCATCCTTACCTAGTACCCGTTTCCTAACAACTGTTACTTACTCGATGGTCCCATGATATACGAGCAATATTTCGAAGACACCTATGATCAAATACTAGTAACCTACGAATATCCTCTACTCTTACCGGCCATGTTTCACTGCCATAAAGTAGGACGGAACGAACTGCTGCGCAGTAAACACGTCCTTTGGTTGATAGACGGATATCTCGCCTACGCCATAAATGACGCAAGTTGGCAAAAGCTAGTCGAGCCTTCTGTATCCGTGCTGAGATTTCGTCACACACCAACCACAAGGGCTGATGAGACTTCCAAGATAAGTGAAGCGGTCGACACACTCAACTACTTCACTCCCTATCACTAGTTCGGGTGTCGATGTAACCCAATCCTGAAGCAACATTTTGCATTTCGAGGGAGAGAATCGCATCCCGAACATGCTTGCATTGTTGCTTAGAGTGGTCAGAAGACTCTGCATTTTGTCAGCGTCTTCACCAAATAAAACTATGTCATCAGCATATTCTAAGTCAACAAGTGAACCTCCCGGTAGAAGTTCAACCCCTGGAAATTTAGATGAGGAGAGTGTTATCTCTAAAAGTACGTCGACGACAAAGTTGAACAAGAATGGGGAGAGTGGACAGCCCTGACGAACACCACTTGAGGTAATCAATTCTGATGACAGTTCGCCATAAGCTCTCACTCTACCAGTTGTGTTCGAGTAGAGAGCCTTTATAAGGTTAATGTACTTCTTTGGTACTCCTTTCAGTGACAAACACTGCCATAGAACCTCACGATCAACAGAGTCGAATGCCGCCTTAAGGTCGAGAAATACTACCATTGTGGGGCGTCTGAATGTGTGTCTGTGTTCTAGAACCTGACGTAGTGTGAATATCTGATCTATACAACCACGTCCAGGTCGAAAACCAGCCTGGTTTTCTCTAGTCTGCTCTTCACGAGCTTTGTTAGGCGTCGAAGTATTATTGAAGCTAATATTTTAGACACTATATTAGTCAAACTGATTCCTCTGTGATTGTCACAAGAGGACTTTTGTCCTTTCTTATAGACTGGCACAATCAGTGATTGAGACCAGTCAGATGGGATTACGTCCAGTTCCCAAATTCTACCTAAGACCTCAGTTAATCTCATTGCTAATACTGGACCACCATCCTTAAAAATCTCAGGAGTAAACCTGTCAGGGCCTGCTGCTCTCCCTCGTTTCAGATTTCCTATGGCTTTTTCAACTTCGTAAAGGGACGGAGGACCTACATTAACTTGCCATTCAGGTTGACTGGAGATCGTGGGAAACCGAAGTGTGGCTGAAGGCCAGTTGAACTGATCCCTAAAGTGTTCTGCCCATCGATCCAATCTCCTGGATTGAGAATGAATAATATGTCCATCTTTCTCTGAGATTGTTTCGCTAACGGTCGGGTTCCTAATTCCGGTTTCCTTAACGAGTCTGAACAATTGTCTGCTATTACCTATTGCCGCTGCCTTTTCCATCTCTCTTGCTTTCGCTACCCACCACTGTTCGCGATCATTGCGTAGACTTCTTGTCAGCTTGCGCTTAAGCTGACTCCGCTCTTCATTATGTTCAGAGCCAGGTGGAATGAGTTTCCGAGCATCTATCAGTGCGATAGATGCTGCTGAGATCCAGTGTTGCTCCCTAACCTTCTGGTTTACCTTACTAGCAGATATCACTGCTGTTTCCACAGCTTTTCGGATATCATTCCATGCTGCATCGGGGTGGGCATCACATACATGGCTGCCTAACTGTTTTCCTAGTTGTTCCTGAAATATACTCTTAGCTTGACTATCATTAAGTAGGCCCTAAGAGGTTTCCTTGCAGCGTCTTTCCTACGTCCAGTAAGACGCAAGCAAATACGCGCTCGCACTAGAGCATGATCTGAATCTAGGCATGTGCTCCAGAATGAGCGACAGTCTTCTATCGAGCCCCTCCATCGGTGGCTGATAGCGATGTGATCTATTTGGGTCCAACGTTGGGACGAATTAGGGGGTCGCCATGTTAAAAGATGTTTTTCCTTATGCTTAAAGTTAGTATTTGCAAGGAACAGGCGGTTATCTGAGCATAGCTGCAACAGACGGTCGCCATTATCTGTTCTTTGAGCCACGACACCATAAGATCCACCTAGGTGTCTTTCCCTATCGCTTAGTTTACCTACTTGAGCATTAAAGTCACCGGCCACTATTACTACATCCGAGCGCCTAGCTTTTCGGAGAAGGTCCGAAAGCTTTCTGTAAAACTCATCTTTTACATCATCTGAGCTGCAGTCAGTGGGAGAATAGGCAGAGACGACGAAGAGGCAACGACGAGTGTCCCTATCTTTCCGGATTCTTACTGTTCCGTTCAGTCGGACAGCGCACAAACGACTGTCTACTGGGATCCACTCTAAGAGAGCTAGTTCTGCCCTAGGACTCAATGCTATACCTACGCCGGCGAGGCCACGGGAAGCAGAATCAGGGCTTCCAGATACACGAAGCGTAAATCGAGTCGGTTCTTTATTTTGGCATGGTGAGGTCAAATGAATGACGCTACTCGGATCCTGTATGCGCGTTTCGGAGACGCAGCACACATCGATGGCGCGAGATTCTAAAGTTTTAGCTAAGGAAGCCTGCTGTCCTATTTGGCAAAGTGTTCGTACGTTAAAAGCTCCTACGTGTAGTTTAGAGCGTGGTTTCAGGAGACCAGGAATGGCGTTCCACGTACTCGAATCGTTTGCCCTAGCGGTGCGAGGTGATAAAGAGACGTGAGGAGGGTTAGTCATGGAGATAAGAGAGGTATTAGGAGGTGTAGGAAGGATTTGAATGTGACCACCTTGGTCTCTTGTGCTGTTACGGGTATGAGGGCTGATGTCACTTCCCGGCTGCCCACACCGTGGAAGGGTATTTCTTGAGGAACCTGAAAAGGAAATTGGATTAGTGTTGGTCTTGACGACCTGGGAGCGTGACCGCAGAGCCCAAGGGACAACTGCTTGAGGCCGGTCGCGCACGGCCTTTTTGTGGAAGGTTTTTGACGTGTTAGCTCCGTTCTTCAAAGGGCCTTACCGCCGGAGACGGAAATCCGTGAGGTAAGGTGAGGTGTGACATTTTTAGGGTCGACCTTTTCTAACCCCACCCCTCCTTGTGGGAAGGCAGCATCGCTGTCATGCTGGTTGTCCGAGGGAAACACCTTACTGCTGTCACACCCTCTACAGTCAGCAGTACGACTTCGCCCTCAGACCTTGAGTTGCTGCTTTTAGTCTTACCGTTCTCCAATCGACCTGCCTGGCATGGTAGAACCTACAGGAACATATGTTCCAGCCAATATAGCTCGGTTGGGTCATCACGATAGGCAAGCCCGACCACCGTGTCAAGGTAACAGCTTCGGTCGGGACTCTCCATCCTTAGTTCAGGTGTTGACGCAGGCCAGTCCTGAAGCAATAACTTGCATTTAGAGGGGAGAAATGCATCCCAAATATCTTGGCATTGTTGCTCAGTGCTACCAAAACACTCTTCATTTTATCAGCGTCTTCACCAAACAGGACTATGTCATCTGCGTATTCTAAGTCGATAAGTCGACCACCTGGAAGGAGGTCAATGCCCGAAAATTCAGTCGATGAGAGCGTTATTTCCATCGGTAGGTCTATGATAAAGGTAAACAAAAATGGAAAGAGTGGACAGTCTTGACGGACACCATTTGAGGTTGCAAAATCAGATGACAGTACAAGGGCTCATAAGATTTTCAAGATAAGTTTAGTCGACGGCGCACTTAACAATTTGATTGCCTATTGCTAATTCGTGCGTTTACGTAGACTAATCCTCAGGTAGCACTGATCATAGGGGAAGAAATGGATCCCCAAACTGCTTGTATTGTTATTCAATGCGATCAGAAGATTAGATTTATGCAGGGTTTTCGATAAACAAGACCAGGCTATTTTAGTACCGAGTATATGTTGATTATTTATTAGGTATTAGACAGGAATGATAAATGATTCATTAGGATGGTGAACTCCTATTAAGCGAAACATATCTTACTTATATCTAGAACCCCATGACACTGATGTTTCATACTGAACGGGAATGTAGTAAGTTCGAAGGAGATTAGGGGCACCTAAACGAGGACATGTGTACAATACATAAATAATAGTTTTAGTTTTAGCCGTATCGACAGGCGATTTCATGACTACAGTAGGCAGTGATTTTGAGTAGTGACACTAAGAGATACATAATACCCATAATAATACTTTCATTAATCTGCAGGTTTCGCTATTTGTTAAATTAGAAGTCATTACAAGAAGAAAGATCGTGGAAACTAACAGGATTAAGAAATATTAACTAGGCAATGTTTGGAGACGTTTACCTATAACTGTCAAACATCTTTCTATGACAATAAACACTGTAATCTGATAACTTAGGTACAAACTTACCTAAAGGCTTTGTATAGTGGTCTGAACCAACACACGTACGATGACGGTACGCAAATTATGAACACGAGAATAGCAACACCGAACAGACTTCCTCCATAATAGTTAGAAGTACCGGCAAAATATACCATTGCTGTGAACAAGTTCACTAACAACAAACAAGCATACGACAGCCATAAGTAATATCCAAATTTGACCACTCTTTTGTATTGAGGTATAATTTCTGTTTCAATGTTTTGGTAAAAGCAAGGAGTACAAGGAAAGAATGATGGTAGTGGAGGCCAGTTCTTAACTGTAACACCTATGGATAGAAAAGGGAAGTGTAGTGTAGTGGCTTGTAATTTTACAGAATAACTAATTCAACCAGATAAAACATGAGTATAAAAAACGGAATAACGAAATTAAGATAATTCAGATAAGCAGAACAGTCTTTAAGATTTATAATGATTTAGGAGTCGTAATAACAGAAAATTTTAAGAAAGGAATTCAAAGTTTTGAGTTTAAACTTTTGTACGTAAAAATAAGTAACGTTTTATAGGATAAAACCGGAGGGAACGATTCATCCGTATCATAAGAGCACTTTGAAAGATACAACTTTTAGCATTATTTGCATAATTTTTCTGGAGCATTATACAAGCTTAGGACTTGAAATTTACACGATGTTTTATTCAGTCAGCTACAACGTAGGACCAGGCACATATGTGCATCGGTCCAGGTTGCCATAACGCATCAGTACAAGATGAACACTGGATTCATAGAAGTGATTAATTCAATGGTAGTAATATATGAAAGAAAGATTGCATATAAGGACATAGTACAGAAAGAAAAAAATTAGTTCGTAGAAAGAAAGGTATGAAGCAATTTTAATCTCATAGTTTAAGGGAAGACAGGAAGTGCATACACCTAAGCCATTGTGATCGATTCTGAGCCATATCACCCCGAGTCTCAAACCATTGGTTACGATAGTCACGTGGACCCCAACCAAGTAGTCTGCATCTGCCAACATGGCAAAGACCAGAAGTTAGTGACTTTAAGGACTGATGCCACGTTCTGGTTTGGCCACTTCCTTCCAACCATCCCCAACACTAGTCAGCATTAAGCGTCGTGGTAATCGGTGCTCAGGCATGCGTAACAAGTGGCCCAACCATCTCAGTCGACGAAGATTCACAACCTCATCAGCTGATTTACCATCATTCCCTAATACCCTGGGTCTAACCTCACTATTACTTACCCGGTGATCCCAGCAGATGCGAGCAACATTCCTAGGGCATCTGTGGTCAAATACTAGTAGCTTAGGAGTATCTTCTACCATTAATGGCCACATTTCGTAGTACTAAAGTAGAACAGAACGAACTGCCGTCCCTCAATTGGTAGACGGATATCTCACCTTCGCCATAGGTGACGTAAGTTGGCAAAAGCCAAACGAGCTTCTTGAATCCGTGAAGAGATTTCGTCAGACACCAACCCACTAGGGATGATCAGACTTCCAAGATAAGTGAAGTTGTCAACGCATTCGACTACTTCACTCCCTATCCTTAGTTCAGGTGTTGACGCAGACCAGTCCTGAAGCAATAACTTGCATTTAGAGGGAGAGAAGCGCATTCCAAACATTCTGGCATTGTTGCTTAGTGCTACTAAAAGACTCTGCATTTTGTCAGCGTCTTCACCAAACAGGACTATGTCATCTGCGTATTCTAAGTCGATAAGTGGACCTCCTGGAAGAGATCAATACCCGAGAATTCAGTCGACGAAAATGTTATTTCCATCAATAGGTCTATGATGAAGTTAAACAAAAATGGGGAAAGTGGACAGCCTTGACGGACACCACTTGAGGTTGCAAAAGTAGATGACAGTTCGCCATAAGCCCTGACTCGACTAGTAGTGTTCGAGTAAAGAGCCTTCACAAGGTTTATGTACTTCTGGGGTACGCCTTTCAATGACAGACACTGCCACAGAATCTCGCGGTCTACAGAGTCAAATGCTGCTTTTAAGTCGAGAAAGACCACCATTGTCGGACGCCGATAAGTATGCCTGTGTTCTAGAACCTGACGAATGGTGAATATGTGGTCGATGCAGCCACGACCAGGTCTAAAGCCAGCTTGGTTCTCTCGTGTTTGCAGTTCACGAGTCTTAGTTAGGCGTCTGATAATTATCGAGGCTAGTATTTTAGATATTATATTAGTTAAACTAATCCCTCTGTGGTTGTCACAGGATGATTTTGACCCTTTCTTATATATTGGGACGATAAGTGATTGTGACCAGTCAGATGGAATAACGTCTAACTCCCAGATCTTAGCTAAAATATTAGTCAACCTAATCGCTAAAATTGGACCACCATCCTTAAAGACTTCTGGAGCCAGTCCATCTGGACCAGCTGCCCTTCCTCGTTTCAGATTAACTATAGCCTTCTCAACTTCAGCAAGAGTTGGGGGACCTACTTCAATGTTCCATTCACACTCTCTGGGAATGGAGGGTAGTTGTAGAGTAGCTGAAGGCCAGTTGAACTGTTCTCTGAAATGTTCCGCCCATCGTTCTAAACGTCTGGACTGGGAGCAGATGAGAGTATTGTCTTTTTCCGAAATAATCTCACTTACACTTGACTTATTAATTCCAGTTTCTTTTATTAGTCTGTAAAGCTGTCTTGTGTTCCCTATAGTCGCCGCCTTTTCCATCTCTTTTGCTTTCATTGCCCACCACTGCTCACGGTCGTTTCTTAGACTTTTTCTTAACCTAGATCTGATTTGTTGTCGCTCTTCGTCATGTTCGGAACCTGATGGGACGAGTTTGCGAGAATCCATCAGTGTGATAGACTTTGAAGAAATCCACTGGTTCTTTGTAACTCTGTGGTTTAAGTCGCTAATAGATGTCACTGCTGTTTCCACAGCTGCTTGTATGTCTTTCCAAGCAACATCTGGGTCAGCCTCGTCTTCAGAACTACCTAAGTGTGACCTCAGTTGTTCTTGGAACCTACTTTTGGTTTTCTCGTTACTCAACTCAGTTCTAATGGGTCTTTTTACTGAGGTTTTTTTGCGTCCAGTGAGGCGCAAGCAGATGCGTGCCCGTATTAGGGCGTGGTCGGAGTCCAAGCAGGTACTCCAGAATGAGCGACAATCTTCTACAGACCCTCTCCAACGATGACTTATGGCAATACGGTCTATTTGAGTCCATCGTTGGTTTGGTGTAGGGGGTCGCCATGGCCTTTTCGTGGAAGGTTTTAGACGTGTTAGCTCCGTTTTTCAAAGGGCCTTACCGCCGGAGACGGAAATCCGTGAGGTAAGTGAGGTGCGACATTTTTAGGGTCGATCTTTTCTAACCCCACCCCTCCTTGTGGGAAGGCAGTATCGCTGTCATACTGGTTGTCTGAAGGAAACACCTTACTGCTGTCACACCTCTCTACAGTCAGCAGTACGACTTCGCCTTCGGACCTTGGGTTTGTTGCTTTTAGTCTTACCGCTCTTCAACCGACCTGTCTGACATGGTAGGACCTTGAGGAACGGTTGTTCCAGCCAGTATAGCTCGGTTGCTTCATCACGATAGGCAAGCCCGACCACCACGTCAAGGTAGCAACAACGGTCGGGATGTTTTATCACATAGTTTTACAATCGCAACTCAAAAGGAAGTACAAACCAAACTCCTTAGCTAGGATAATAATCAGCCATATGCTCCTGATAAGACAGGCGTGAATGAATTTTCGCATAAGATCAACACCAAACTCTCAATTGTGTGTACGGTTGAAAACAATAAATCAGCTGAATGGGTCTATAGTACCAAATGGTTAATAAATTAGTGGTTCATGGTAAATGAATTAAAGTATCTACTAATAGGTTTGTTGTAGTTTTCCCAGTTAACTTATGACTCTCGTTTCTTAACATTTACAGACGGTGAAAAAGTGAAATTTTCATCAAATAAATGTGGGTCAGGGGCATCTGACGATCATAAGTCATAATCAACGGTGCAGCTGGCACAAATTGGCATCGACCGAAGACAGTACACCACAATAACACAAGATGAATGACAAGAAAATAATAATGGTGGAAAAACTAGACAGCAGGGAAAATGTAAATAAATAATATATTTGTAATATCCCAATGAGTATAAAATTGAGATATAACAAATATATCATTTATTTATAACAATCTACCCAATGCTCAATTTATTTGAAATTACCAAATCAAACCTTAGGCAGGGGAAATGGATGTTAGTCAGTAACAAAGGTATGACTCGAATCAACAACGAAGCCATAGATGAATACAACAATAGCTATAGTGAATAGTCGGTGCACATTCGTAGTTACAACCAGGACCTATACTTTGGTCATCATCTGGGTACGTACATTAGCTTAGCGATTAAACGCGCTAGACGACGGACAACTTAGGAGAGAAAAAGATGACAAACCTCTTTGGGATACTGGCCTATTCTGTTCCTCTCTCATTCGTTGTTCCTCTTCTCTTCGTGCCAGTTCCGCAGCCTTTGCATCCAGCTCCTTCTGACGACGTTCAAGCTCTGCGGTTGTAATTTTCTGAGCTTGAGTAGCAGAATATTGAGGTGGTGGTACAGAATTAGTGGTATGATTACCATGTTTATTATCCCCAGTAGCCTCGAAAGGGTTGTACTTATCTAGTGCACCCGTATCAACACGAGAAATCTGAGGGTTATCATGAGACTGTGTCTAAAGAGAAAATATGAGGATTGACAGCACGACGAACCGGTGTCAACTTCGCTACTGGATCTGCAAAAGGATTCTCCATTTACAGTTGCCAACAGTGTCAGACAGAGCGCAAATTGACACCTGGTTGAATAGTTCAATTGGCGATCTCAAATTCAGATTTGTGTAGTAATGACAGAAGGCCTATTGCCTATGTTATTCTTTTTCTAGTATGCTTCTGTGAGTGTCCTGTCTTCTCTTGAAAGAGTCAAGTGAAGGTGCAGACACCACTGTTTTGATTAACAGGTTCCAAGAATTGATAACTCGGTGCGAAAACCTGTATACCACGGATATTTTATTCGTTCTTGGCTTTTCGACTAGCCCGCTTTGTCGTTTGAGATGTCTCGATCTAGTGGGAAGAAAAAGAGAGGATGTGTTAGATCAAAAACAATTTACTAGTATTCTGTGCATCAGAATCAGATCACATTTTAATCTGCGATAGAACAGAGTAAAGAAGTCTAGCTTTTCAAGACTCTCTTGGTACGATAAACTCCGGAGTTCTAAAATCTCACGGGTAGTTGCCCTATGTACTTTTTCCAGGATATCCGAGTCACCTTTTAAACAGGGGCTTGGAGCCTGAACGCAGTTCTCAAGCCTAGTTCTCACTAAAGTTGTGTGTACTGTAGTGAACTTGTTAGTGTTTAACTTGTTGAATGTCTGTCTTAGAGCCCGTAGGGCTCTAGACCCCTTAACTGTGACCTACTGACAATGGGCCGTGGTCTTATGATCATGACTCACTGTCACACCAATATTCTTGTGGTCCAGACCACGGGTACAGGTACTTCCCCTATGCTGTACCTATCCACCTTTACATCCCCAAAGTGCATGCAGACACACTTTAACGCGTTAATAGGCATCACCTACTCCTTAGACCACTTAGTCCCAATATTTAAGTCTCCCTGAAGCGCGCATTCATCTGCATCTCACGTTATTTCTCGCCAGAGTTTTACATCGTCAGCATATAGCAACATTGGAGACTCTACTATACTTGGGAAATCATTTGCATACAGCACAAAAAGTGAAGGACCAAGGACAACTTTGCTAATTTTTCTACACTGAAGCAACCAGCAAGTGATCATTTATGTCACAGATTTAATACTGATAAAATAAGGATCATACTGAAACCAGAACCCATGAAGGATAAGCAGACATGAAAGGATGTCATTACTGAGTTAAGAGCGCGAAAGCGAAATGGTGTGTAGCGGTAAATAAATCCCCAAAATCAATATCTCCGTAAGTCCTCGACATTTGATGCTGACCGCACTAGTTTTAATGGACTCACCTAGCTGAAGGCGCTTGGTCAGGCATCCACACCAGAACACGAGTGGAAACACCGTTCTACATATCTCCTTAAACCGCTAGCCAGTCTAGATTGGTCACTTCGCGATGTATCGATATTTTTTTCGAATATATCTTTGAACCTCTGTGTTCCCGGCTTCTCATTTGACTGGGTCGGCACAATTCGATTATAAATGTTGTTACTGGTTAAATTGAAACAAACCCTAAGACTCAGGGTTTTAGAGTGGTAAGGCATTGGAAACCAATGCTTTTGAAATCTGTATAGATAGAACGAGTGATTCTCAAAACACCTTAGATGTGTGCTACACAAACACGCGTAGTCTTAGTAACTGAACCTCCGTGCTAAACTCGGTGATGAATGAACTAGGTCCCAATGTAGTTGTTGTCACAGAACCGTGGATTCTCGTGGATGTAAACTTTTCTCCAATGACTACAGGATACATATGTATCGGAAGCGATAGAGGTGTGAATCGCAAAAGTGAAGGCAGTAGAGACCTCTTTCGTATGCAGTCGAGCGCATCGGAGGCGCATTACACCGATACATGCGAGACAGCTTATTGTAACAATAAATCTAGACACGGATTAGTGACTACGGGAGAGATATGTAGTAGTCTACGTTGTCTTGCTGACGACTTTACCGTAAGTAATGTATGTTCTGGAGGCAAGTCAGATTGCTATCCCATCGTTGGAGACTTCAACGCGCCGCATATCAACTGGATAGAGATTACAACTTCAGTCGGACGTTTCGACAGCTGCTTACTGACAACCATTATTCGGTACACACTTGTACATTGCATCAAATAACTGACATATGTTGACTAAGGACATGAACCGCCATTGTCGGTCTATCACTTTGCCCTCCATGAATTGACAAGGAAAGCTATGTGCTGATAAGGCTTAAGAAGCACTTCTGAGTCAAGAGTTTGTCAACAGATCACAAACCGTTTAAGTTTGAATACTGAAAAATCTAGAGTATGTGTAAAAAGACCAAGGCTAGAAACCGTGCCACTCACGGAAGATAGTTGGCATGCGATCGTCATATCTGCTCAGAACGATTGTTTTCATACAACAGAAGAAGAATTAATCGTAATGATGAGATTCCTACATTATTGTCGCGCGAACATTCGGACTGAAGCGATAATTAAACATCTGAAATAAATAGTTCTGTAAGTCATTGACATTTAATAATGATCTTGTTATTTTTACTGGACACATGTAGCTGAAGTCACCTGGTCAAGCAACCACACCAGAACACGAGTGAGTACACCGTACTTCGCATCTCTTACAGCGGTTAACCAGCCTAGATTAAACGCTTCAGGAAGATTTAGGGAGAGGAAAATGTGCCAATGAGATAACAAAGAGAGAAGGTTAGATCAAATAAGAGAAATAAAGAGGCATCACACTACTGTCAGCACCAGGAAAAGTTTTCAACAGAGTGTTCCTGAGCCACGTGAAAAATTCAGCAGACGACAGGCTGGATTCCTTGAGGATCGAGCATGCACAGACAAAATCACGAAACTACAGATCATTATTGAGCAACCAAGTGAATGGAACTCATCATTATACATCACCTTCCTTGACTATGAGAAAACAATTGACGGTGTATAGGGGAATTTATGGGACCACCCTCGACATTATGGTGTACCTGAGAAAACCGTCAACATTATTCAGAATTCACCACGAAGCGGTGCGTGGAGGAAAGCTAACAGATGCATTCCAAGTGAAGACCGGTGTCAGGCCAGCTTTCCCACAGTTGAACAACACATGCAACTCAAAGCAACCGTCAAACAGTATCAAAGTCAGAATCTTCAATACGCACGTCAAAACAGTTCCACTGTACAGAGCTGAAACGTGAGGAACCACTACAACCGACATCAAACGCGTTCAGGTATTTATAAACAGCTGTATATGCAAGGTAATACAGTTCTGTTGACTAGACACCATCGACAACAACCAAACGTAACAAAGAACAGACCGTATTCCAGCTGATATTAAAATTAGGAAAGGGCGTTGAAGGTGGATAGGACATATATTGCAGGAATCATGAAAAGGAAAGTGCTAACTTGAAATCCTAAAAAAAGTGGGAGGAAAGGAAGAACCAAGAACACAATGCGATGGGACTCGCATGCAGATATGAAAAGGACGGATAACAATTGGAAAGGAATGCTCTGGAAAGAGTTTAATGGAGAATGCCTGTGAGCGACCTGTGCTACTCTACGAGAAGTAAGAGATGTAAACAAATTTCACTCATTTTATTCATGCTTTAGTTTATTTTTCCAGGCTGCATTCTTTGACCTGCCCATAATCTTGCTGGTTTTAGGATTTCAAGCCAGGGCTTTTTTTGTAATGCGTGAAGTGAAATGTATCTTATCCACCTTGGGGGTTTTTTTAACTTCCTCATCTGTAGCCAGAAGCTTTCTTCTTTCCTACCAGGATATGTTGTTTTGAAGTTATCTGGTCATCGGGGCGAACTTCTTGCGTCAGCATATGAGAATGAATACCTGTACCTTTCTGGTGAAGTTTGTGGTAGATCATCAATTTTCAGCTCTATGTGATAGAACCAATTTAAGGTTGTAGATCACCAACGTAGGTAATTTTTGTCGATGATCGGGAACTAACTCGGGTCAGATAGGGCTGGCATGATCTCCCAGATTACGTCGAAGTCACATCTCTCAGTGAATATTCTGCGTTGATTATGTGTGGATTTCAAATAAAGTCAACATGACAAAATGAAATGAATCATAGTAGAAGTATTTAAAATTTTTCAAGTACTTATCGACTGCCTAGGATTCATTGAGTTAAGTGAAAAATAATCACGAAAAATATTGTTTGAGTTCACAGATTTTATGAGCCAACCTTGTGTTATACATTCAAATCAATTTGTCATATAAATATATCTATTTATATTTTCAAGTTATTCATGAATTGTAAGTATTGAAGCGGTGCAATGACGACGAGGATTCTCGAATACTCAGTTTATAAGAAATATGAGACTTGAAGGAATGAGCTGTTTGGCCATTTTAAGGATACAAGGTGGCATCTCTTTAAGCGCGCTTTATGAATTGCCGTGGATATATCGTGGTCAGTCGTAAAATTTACAATAAAACTATTTTTGACACTTTACAACAGATCACAGTATGTCCTCACCCTTTAGTTGCATCATATTCAAGGTCTTCACTTGGATCTAGCTTTCATTATTTGTTTAGTCAGTCTGATGTTATACAAACTGTTCTTTATTTGTTTACTGGTATGTATTCCTAATGAAAGCATTGTTTTTTGTGTACATGATGGGATATTTATCCATGAGACAGGGTGAGCAGCGTTAATGTTTGTATTACTGATGAAGAAGGCCTCGTCTTTATCTTTAACGTTTCTTATCAGTCATAGTATGACTGTTGCTTCACACGTGCACGTGTGGCTGTCATAGATCCACTTATAACAGAAGGTGGAATAAAATGCGAGCCGCTTTCATGAAAAAATACGACTTACTTTCGTTCAGTGAGTTTGCTAATGTAAGCACCCTAAAAGGTAAATGAGTTCAACAGTGTTGTTCAATTAATTGATAGAAGTAAAGAAATATGTAATGACAGTACTTCAACTGTTACACCATCCGCCAGCAACATCAATCAAAGGCTTTCCGATAATATTGATATGTACATTGAATTCATACGGGAATATATATCTTATAGGATGTACTGAAGTGAACTTGTGCTCTCAGAAGTTCGTAAATCGCAAAGAACTGAT